TCTTCATTTTTTGAGTTGACTTTCTTTTTCTCTGAAAATGGAGCTTGTTCACTTCCATGTGGACACATCTGCCGTTCTCACATGCACAGCTTCGGCTCCAAGAGAAAAGGACACTGGCCGATAGCTTAGCCGGACGCGTAAACCTAGAGATCTCTCTCCATCAATTCCAAACAGTAATGTGTTTATAAATAAAGAAGAAAAGAAAGAAGCAATGACCCATCAGGACAAGAAGCGGATGGACAAAACGAACATTCCTCGGTCGGTCCGAGCCCACGATCGAGCCCGCAAACCCGACCCCTCACTCCAACGCCTCCATGTGGATCACGGGTCACAGACAGGTGGGCCAGCCGTTCCCGGCATTCCGGCCGCCTTCCCACCTGCAGGACACGGCCCGCATTGAAGCGGGGCAGCGCCGAGCCCGTGAGACGGGCCCACGTGAAAGCGATCCGGGACGGCTGGAAGGGGGCCCCACAGAACATCGCTCTTTAGTTTACTCGCCCGCACACATGCCGGTTTCGTTTCTTGCTTGTCTCGCCTCGCCGCCTCGCTGCCACGGTCAACTCCTCCTTGCTTGCCTCCCCCACGTCTCCGTGCCGCCCAGAGCCAGAAGCATTCCCTCAAACACCTCGCGGGCGCCTCTGACCCCGCCTCCCTCCATGGCCGCGCCCTAGAGACCAGATTGTCGCAGCCGCTTCGGTGCTCCGGCTCCACCCATGCCGCAGTGCCGCCTCCTCCTGGCCGCCGTGGTCCTTTTAGGGGCTGTGGTGGCCGCCGTGGCGCAGCAGCCGCTCGCGTCGCCGTCGGACCTGGCGGGGCTGTACAGCCTGCGGGCGTCGCTGGGTTTGCGGGCGCGGGAGTGGCCCGCGAGGGCCGACCCGTGCACGGCCTGGGCGGGGGTCATGTGCCGCGCCGGCCGCGTCGTGGGTGTCAGCGTCGCGGGGTTCCGCCGCACCCGCCTCGCGAGCCGCGCGCCGGCGTTCGCGGTCGACGGGCTGCGGAACCTCACAGCGCTCGAGCTCTTCAACGCCTCCGGTTTCCCGCTCCCCGGCGAGGTGCCCGCGTGGTTCAGCCGCGGCCTCCCGCCGCCGCTCGCCGTGCTCGACCTCCGCTACGCCGCAGTCAATGGCATGCTCCCGCCCGATCTCGGCTCATCGGGGAATCTGACTAGGCTGCTCCTCTCCGGGAACAGTCTCTCGGGCCAGGTTCCGGAAACGCTGCTCTCCGTCAAAGGCCTTCGCGTTCTTGACCTCTCCACCAACAATTTCACCGGGGAGCTACCCAGCGTCTCGGTCGGCGCCGGTGATGTAGCGGCATCGTTGTTTAACATTTCAGGGAATTCTCTGTATGGTGTGGCCACTGATGCCATTGGGGCACTCAAGACGAGATTCCGGCTGGTGGACGTGTCAAGCAACTACCTCGATGGAGATTGGAATGGATCCGATGCAACGGTGGATGTTAGCGTGAATTGCTTCTCTGGTGTCCCTGGTCAGCGCCGTCGTGTTGATTGTGAAGACTTCTATAGGAGGGAAGGGGTGAGACTTGTTGATAGTCCAGTGCCTGCACCTTTGCCTCAGCCATCACCAGAGAAGAGCCGTGGGATCTCCAAAAATGTACTTATTGGGGTTCTTGCAGCCGCGGCAGCATTGATGGTTATGTTTTTGGTTGCATTGCTTTTCTGTTTGATGAGGAGGAGACAAAGAGGAGGTGGGAGAGGGGCGGAAACAAATGAGGAAGGTGCACGCGGCATGCGTAGGAGGGACAGCAGCGTAAATCCTGTGGCCTCATCACCGGTAGCAGTGTCCCCGAGAGCCGATGCTACTCCTAAGGATGCGATTGCCGTTTTTGGTGAGTTGACCTATGAGCAATTGATCCATGCCACCGGGGGCTTTGGTGATGACAACCTCCTCAAGCATGGGCATTCGGGGGATATTTACCATGGTGTGTTGGAGAATGGCGCACATGTCATCGTCAAGAAGATTGGTACAAAGAGTATCAACAAAGTTTCAAGCGAATTGGACTTCTATTCGAGGTACTCACATGGGAGGATTGTTCCGTTGCTCGGCCATCTGGCCAACAATGACGAAGAATTTCTGTCCTACAAGTATATGCCAAAGGCGGACTTGACCAGCGCATTGCACAAGAAACCTGTGGACACTGAAGATGGCTTGCACTCATTGGATTGGATAACTAGACTGAAGATCGCCACTGGTGTAGCTGAGGCCATGTGCTTCCTTCATGACGAGTGCAGCCCACCATTCGTTCACAGGTATTTTATACTTTTTGTATGCTCCAAACATCTTGCTGGTGCATTTCCCAGTACATGTGGAATATGCTATTGGAGTATTTAATCTTATGGTATAAATTTGTTACATTTACTTACTTTCTGGGGTTCTCTAAGTGGTGGTTGTGCTTTTGACGTTTATGAATACACCAGTAAAATTCATATCTGTCAAGGCATTATTGCTGAAGAGAGAGAAATATTATACTATATGTGAAACTTTTGTTTGACTTATTATTCCCAAGTCGGAACGAAAGATTAGGGGAATATGATTTGTCTTCGTATATGGTTAGAAGAATTGACCTGATGTAGAAGTATATGATTTTGTATGACTAGTCATTTTCTGATTGTTTTGCTGAGTAAAAAGTGTTACATATTTTTGCGTGGAAATAAAAAATGTTACTTGATTGTTTGTTTTTCTGATATGCATGTGGTTCTGTACAAAGCATATATGCTGCACGAAAGAATGTCTGAGGAAGAGTTATACAATGAAGATATATTTGATATATGATAATGTTTTTTTAATAGAAATAAGCTCTACCACAGCCTCAAGTCTCTATTGGAGCGTAGGCGTAGCATTTGTATTCGTATTTTACCAACTGCTCTGTGGACGTCATCAGTTATTCCAGTATTGTATTACTTTTGACATAACTGGTAGTCATCTTCTGTTCCACCTTCCTATTTTGACTGCTTTATCTTTTGCTGCCATCTTACTTTGACTAGTCAATGTTGTCACTTGTCAGTAGGTGAGGTCAAGTATTTTAAGTTACAGGCCTTATCTCCACATAGCTGCATGTTGCTTGATGCCCTAATCTTCTTCTTTGATATCGTTCTTGATATTTTATTTATTATGTTCTGAGTTCTGATTCTTTCATTGTAACTGTAGAGATATCCAAGCAAGCAGTGTGCTTCTTGATGATAAATTTGAAGTGCGACTCGGAAGTATGAGTAACATATGCGCTCAGCAAAGTGCAGGAAGCCAGAATGTTTTCTCTCGGATCTTGAGATCATCAAAGTGAGATTGCGACCTGTTTAATTCTTTTTTCTACATGTTTTGTGTTAGGCTTAGAAGAATCTAATAACCATGCTAATTAACTCCTGAGCTTAATGTTGTAAAGTTTGCTCTGAGTTATCTTGATGTTAAGGCTTTTATAGCATTAATATATGAGGAGCATACATATAGAAATAAATGGAAGGTAAAGCAACTCTACTTATAAATCATCGATGACCCTATGTATAGAAAAGAAGCTAGAGGCATTAATCTACAATAATTTATATTTGTGGTTTTACTTGACTTGTGGTAAGCAATTTGTTTGCCCACTTTCATACTAATTTTACTGGTACTAACTTAAAGGTACTACAGCATGCTAGCAGTGACGAGTTCTGGTATTAAGTGCCTTTTATTTGCCAAATGCACACCAAATAAGGACATAGCAGTAAGGATTTTGGCATATTTTGATTGATTGGTGGTTGGTATAGATCATTGTTTCGTCACACACCTACTTACTGCCCTCTGATTCTGTTGTCTTAGCAAATTCCAATCTTGTCTTTTTTAGAAACTTATGTTAGTAGTATTTTGTTAAGCTTCTTCAGTCTTCTGAACTGACGTTCCTAACTGACATTGATAACTGGCACTTTCTTGTGGCAGGTCTCTTGACAAGAACATATCAGGTGCGTAAATGTTTCACATTTGTCCGCATGCTACTTTCATAATTGATACAAGTCTTATATCAAAAAAAAAATTTATCTCTTTTGTGTGCCTTTCGCACTTTCAGGCCCACCAGCAACTTGTTCATACGATGTTTACTGCTTTGGGAAGGTGATCCTTGAGCTAGTAACAGGCAATTTTGGTGTAAGTGGATCAAATGATGCTGGCTCCGAGGAGTGGCTGACGAACACAATAAATCGCATTAGCATCAGTGACAAGGATAGCATTATTAATATAATTGATCCTTTACTTGTCGTTGATGAGGACCATCTTGAAGAAGTATGGGCAGTGGCGATTGTCGCAAAGACGTGCCTAAACTCAAAGCCGTCAAGGCGCCCCTCTGCTCGCTACGTCTTGAAAGCCCTGGAGAATCCACTGAGGGTGGTCCGAGCGGGTTCCCGGTCCAACTCCGCAAGGCTCAGGAGCTCGTCATCCCGGAGCTCATGGCAGTCTGCTTTTCTTCAGGGCAATCGTTACCAGAACTACGAGGTCATGTCGCCATCAGGGCGAATGCTTGATGGCAGAGGCTCAGTTCGGTCGCATATTAGTGGGGGAGAAGCTTCCTCGTCCTTCAAGAGATCTTTGCGGGAGATAGCTCCTGACCCGCAAGTGCTGGACGAGGACGTCGCTGTGTAGAGAAAAGAGAAGATTTTATCCGGAATTTCTTTCAGGAGCTGGTGATTCTTGCTTACCTGTGTATAATTGTCATCGGATGTGCATGGCTTCGGTTCCTCAAGGTCAGAAGTGTGCATAAAGAGAGGCTAAGTTGTGGGTTTTCCTTCATTGGCACATGGAGATGGTACATGATGTTTGCAGAGTGCACATAGAGCAACAACATTCAGTATGACACAATTAATTTCTTTTCACCAAATCACATTGATTTTTGACATAATCTGTACTAGTTAGTTGGATTAATTTGAGACTTGTTCTGGGAGAAGGTTGAAAAAATAAGTCAATTTGAATTTATATTTTTATTTAAATTTAAATTCAAATGTGACCGTTTGGCAGTTGTCCATGCCAGTTTACCTTGCCTTGTTTCTCTCTCTCTCTCTCTCAAAAAAAAAAGCAGTTAAGCCCCAAACAATTAAAAGAAAACTCAAACAGGATAGAGCTAAACCTCGCTCCACCTTCCACTCGTCTCCAATGGCCACCACCACTCTCTCACGCTCTCACATCCGCCTGCACCTCCCGCTCCACACCGCCAATCCTTCCTACCCTCGCTGCTGCCGCCTCCTTCCCTCCTCCGCCATCTCATCGCGTCTCCAGAACCCCGCCACAACCACCGCCACCCACTATCCCATCCTCCCGCCCGCTCCATCCCCTTCCCTCCTCGCCGCCGAGGAGGCCTCCCTCGCCCCGCGCCGCACCCACCGGTTCCCGGGCTCTGTCGCGCCCCCGCGCATCCAGGACTCCCGGGACGACCTCGACGTCCCGGCCGACGATGACGTCCTGCGGCGTGCGCTCGAGGTGCGCCGCGCTGTGGCCACCGAGGCGCTCGTGGCCGCGCTCAGCGGCGGCAAGGCCGGGGGGCTCACCTACGTCAACAACCTCACTTCACGGATGGGCGCCTTCGTCGACCGCATCGTCGTCGGAGCCGCCGCCATGCGGCGCGACCGCCCCGAGCTCGCGCACCAGTCCTTCAACGCGCGGGCACGGACCTACATCCAGGAATCGGGCGTGGTCGAGCTGGTCAAGTAAACGTCGCAGCGTCCCCTTTCCTTTTCCTGTTCAATTCTTCTGTTTATTTCTTCTCAAGTACTGGGCACATGAACTGCAACAATGCAACTACCAGACACGAATGAAATTTTGTTTTTGTGTGAACAAAAACTATAAATCTATAGGAGTTGTCATTTAACAGAAGCAGACGGAAAAGAAAATCATATTCTAAGTTGGCCCATCTGATCTGAGCAAGAAGCTTGACCATTTCCCACCTAGCTGGTTTCAAGACGGTGCATATTTTGTTAGGCTTGAAATGGAAGTGCCCTCTTATCAGTGACCGACCATGACAATCACAAGCTTGGCTATAACACCCCTGTCAACAAGTTCCATTGTGATTATTTTCCAATTCCTGCTGTTTTGTCTAAACTGCATTTATTTGATGTATTTTCACACTGTTCTATGACTATACCTATTTAAACATTTCACATTGCTCCTATTTGCTAGCAAACTCCTAAGTAATTCACAAACTCTGAAGTAGTGTATTTCATGATACGTACGGAAATAGTTTCCTCGCTAGTATTGAAACAATATATTCACTTCAGGTGGTTCAAGCACAACTCGTTGACATATCCCCAAATCGCGAAAGTAGTTTGCTCCTGTTCTGGTGATCTGGAGAAAGTGAGAAGGATGCTAAAGTGGTTGAGATCAATTTATGTGAAAGGAGAATTTTTGGGACGTGTGCTTGCGAAGGGTGAATCCCTTATGAGTCGCAGTTTCGAAGAATTGGAAGAGATTACTGGCTATCTGGAATGCTGTGGTGTTAGGAGAGAGTGGATTGGTCACGTGGTCAGTAGATGTCCACAGCTATTGAATTTGTCCTTGGATGAGTTAGAGACACGAGTGCAATTTTATACAAATATGGGAATGAATGAGAATGACTTCGGCACTATGGTCTATGATTATCCAAAAGTTCTCGGGTTTTTCAGCCTAGAAGAGATGAACAGTAAGGTGTTTACTGCGCATTAAGTTTTGCTCCATGCTATTTTTCTTTCTGCACCTTGCCCACTTGGAAGAATATTTGACACCATTTTTTCCTGCAATTTATTCCCTTTCTCTTACTATTACTATTATGCAAGAGTCAATTTAATCTTCAGATGATTGAAGATCTATTCATATTTTGTTAAAGAACATTGGTGGAGCAAAACTAAACTCACAGTTCCCTTTTTGGATAGGCATCAATGATCGCGCAGTGTTGACTGCCATATGATTATAACCGATCTAACACTGAACTACTGATGAACTAGTGAAAGTAAATTTCTTGTAATTCTGGGAGATATTGTCATATGACTTTGGATTAATGAAAGTCTTGTCTTGATATGCTAAGTTGTCTCCCCTATAGCTAGTAGGTTGATGGCTTGCACGCCCCACACACATGTTTTGGCCGTGCTTGTGTGTCCATAACTCAAAATAGGTGACCTAAGCCTAAACATACCAATAGTCACCAAATTTATATCGGTTACTAAGGAGTAGGCAGTGATCTTCTTAAGATCGATCTGTCTTCAAGTGGTCAAGGAAGTATATTTTATAGCAATCACGCCAAAATCTCGCTTCAGGAAACATGGTATTGAAAAACTTAGAAACAGGACTCAGTCGTAGGTGCCTCTACATGGGCTTCGGGTAACTAAAAAAGAACTGGTCCATAGGCACTTTGATGACAAAAGAGGGGGAAAAAGCAATGCATAGAAGAATTTGGCGCTGCTCACTAAATTCAGTGGTTAGTAAAATTTGTAAATCTGTGGCTCCTGTTTGTAGAAGAATCAACATAATAGCTGATAGCATAAAAACGGATACAAGTATATAGGAAAAACTGAGTTCTTGAATTCAACATTTCAGTTTGTCATTGTTAATTGTATAGCAATGGTTGTTTGTACTTCATAATTAGAACAAATTCAGTGTTGAAATTAATGGCGTTCTGGCTCACAGGTTCAATATCTGAAGGAGTTTGGTTTGAGCACAGAAGAACTTGGAAAAATGCTGGCTTATAAGCCACAGCTCATGGCCTGCAGCATTGAAGAAAGGTGGAAGCCACTTGTGAAGTACCTATATCATCTAAACATTTCACGGGATGGTATGAAGCGTGTGTTGGTGGTCCAACCTACGATTTTCTGTCTTGATTTAGAGACAGTAATTGCACCAAAGGTACACCCTAAATAATTAGCACTATGCATGCATGTTTTGATGCTACTTGGGCACTCTTTTGTGAGTTATTCACTGCAGGATACTATGATTCGTATGCCTGTTCACAAAATATATTATGATCTGTTAAACATTGTTCTTTAACACTCTGATAGGAGTAACTGCCTTTTTCTTTACTCTTAGGAGTAATTACCTTTTGTATCTGAGAAAAAGTGTACAAATTGGATTTCTAGTTCTGATGTATGGCTTGTTGACAGTTGACCCTTCTCATTTCTATCCGATCAATTGTTCCAGGTACGATTTCTACAGGATATTGGTGTGAGGAATGATGCAGTCGGCAATGTGCTTGTGAAGTTCCCCCCTGTACTAACTTATAGTCTGTACAGGAAGTTACGCCCAGTGGTTTGTTCTCGTATCATTTTATTTCACCATGTTTTACAATGCTTTCAGTAGGATAAGTGTAGGTACATCATAAGTGCAGTTAGTTTCAAATCTCATTAAGCCTTGTTGTGCTCTATCCGGCTCATGTGTCTTGAAACTGCAGGTTATATTCCTGAGGACAAAAGCTGGAGTAACAGAGGATGACATTGGGAAGGTGATTGCGTTGGACCCGCAGCTCATGGGCTGCAGCATCCCACACAAACTGGAAGCCAGCGTCAAGTACTTCCGGTCACTGGGCATCTACCACTTGGTGCTCGGCCAGATGGTTGCCGACTTCCCGACGCTTCTCCGGTACAATGTGGATGTTCTACGTCCAAAATACCAGTACCTCAGGCGTGTCATGGTACGGCCGCTGAAAGATCTTATCGAGTTTCCCCGGTGAGTGTACCACATCCGTATCCTCTTCTGAGAAGAAGATGAGATGATACAGGCTGATGCTTCCCATCCTTGTGCCTTGCCAGGTTTTTCAGTTACTCTTTGGAGCATAGGATAGAGCCTCGGCACAAGGTTCTGGTGGCCAACAGGATAAACATGAAGCTGCGGTACATGCTGCCTGGTTCCGATGAGGAGTTTGCGCAGAGGGTGCAAGAGGCCGTCGAGAGGAGAGCGAGATTCGAAGCCGGAGTGACTACTCTGGAGACATCAGGTGCGCCCGAAACACCCAGCGGCAATGGAAATGGCGTAGCAGCAGCAGCAGTAGCATTTCAAGAGATCGAGGCAGATTAAGGCAGTACCTTGCAAGAAACAAGAAATCCATGTCCTTGGCTTGTACGTACATACGTGTACATGTTCCACGTTTGTGGTTGGCTGTGCTCACTGTGAGCCTATTTGATCCTTTGTGACTCCAAAGTCCTAAGCCAAGTCGACGGAGGATTCTGCTGGAGCCAACGCGAGCACAAAATGCAGAACTAAAATGTTTCACAAAAGAAAAAGGAAACATAACTAAGCTAGATCATCATCCCAGATTATAAGTATCTGGTTCGGCATGAAAGCAGCTCATATAAAATTTCACTAGCAAATATGCCCGTGCGTTGCAACGGGAGAAAAAATTCACACCTCATACACACACTTAACGACATCAGCAAATCCCTTCAAATCTTTCATGATGCCACACAACAAGCTACATGATAAGTGACGTTGTGCAAATTATAAAGGTGTGATGATTTTTGAAGTGTACTCAAGGTGTTTAGAATTAATTATACAACACAAATATCTACCTAGTTTACGCATTTGCTGTTGTTTCTCAGTGATGCCCAAAAAGTATTGCATTAGAATGAAAATAGCAAAGTACATTTTAATATTTAATGACGACATGTGCATAAGAGCATTATTTAGTATTAGTGCTATATATATACATCCATCTGAGGGGACAAGTTTTTCCGGACCGAGGGACTATGTGTTTGCGTGCGCGCAATGTGTGTGTGTGTGTGTGTGTGTGTGTGTGTGTGTGTGTGTGTGTTTGTGTGTGTGTGTGCGTGTGTGTGTGTGCAATCATAATTTATTTAAAGACTTAATTTGGTTGCAAACATATTGGATAGCTCCATCAAAAACAACCAATCTATAAGGACATATGTAATAGGCATTTCTAAGGTATTATTTAAGTTTGCATCCTGAACAAAATTTCAAAAATTAATGATGATGGCATTTTTGGAGTCTACACATTTTTCTGATGAATATTCATATATCACATGTCAGATTTGGAGTTAGGGTTTCAAAGATATGAAAATTCCAGAAAGTATTTGATCTTTTAAAGACAACCAATCTATAAGGACATGTGTAATAGGCATTTCTAAAGTATCTCATCAAATAAAGAAGGTATTACTTAAGTTTGCATTATGATTAATTTTTGGAATCTACACATTTTTTAATGAATATTCGTATATCACATGTTAGATTTGAAATTAGGGTCTCAAAGATATGAAAAATTCAAAAAGTATTTGATCTTTCCAACAAAAAGTTATTGGATAGCTCCATCAAAAACAACCAATCTATAAGGACATATGTAATAGGCATTTCTAAGGTATTATTTAAGTTTGCATCCTGAACAAAATTTCAAAAATTAATGATAATGGCATTTTTGGAGTCTACACATTTTTCCGATGAATATTCATATATCACATGTCAGATTTGAAGTTAGGGTTTCAAAGATATGAAAATTTCAGAAAGTACTTGATCTTTTAAAGACAACCAATCTATAAGGACATGTCCAATAGGCATTTCGAAAGTATCTCATCAAATAAAGAAGGTATTACTTAAGTTTGCATTATGGTTTATGAACATAATTCCAAAAATTAATGATAAAGACATTTTTGGAATCTGCAAGTTTTTTTATGAATATTCATATATCACATGTTAGATTTGAAGTTAGGGTCTCAAAGATATGAAAAATTCAAAAAGTATTTGATCTTTCAAAGAAAAAGGGAGGATGAGGGAATCGAACCCACGATCTCCAGCGCGGATTGTCAAGGTACCAACCAATGCGCTACTCGCATTTTGTTGTACATGAGGGGATCTCCACTTATTGAGCTATGCCGAGCGCGGACAAAAAAAAAGAAACCAAACGTTTTTCTCACTTGGCATTGGTGGGTAATTATTTGCAACCTTAGGGGCAGTTTTAATGACGGACGAGCAGAAGCGATAGCCAGTAAGATAAAGATAAAGATAAAGATTTACACCAACGAACCCAGAAAGGGACAAGCTAGGCACTAGTATTTTTTTTTGTTTTATTTATTTATTTCTCATGAATTACACAGGATGCACAGGAAAAACAAGGACGAAATTCAGCTGCAGCTCTCAGCTAGAGAATACCCACCGCATGCTTTATTAACAACCTCAATTAAATCACCGAGCTGAGACGCATGAATCAGTATACTCGTGCTTTCGGTGGGAACGACTCGATTTCATCATCCAATGTGTTCATATGGACTGGCCTGTATGCCAATCGTACCTTCTCGTTCTCCCAGTACCTGTAAAACACATGACAAATGGCATCAAGTTGCTGAATTTAGGACATCACCAACCCTATACGCCGTACCGCCCCTAAATGTCCGGACACCACAGACGAGGCCAAATTCCCAGAAACCGGCACCAAACCAAGGGGAGGTTGCGAGTCGATAGATATCCGTCACGTAGGACTCTGACACCCCCGACCCACTCAAAACCTCACTCGGAGCTGCGTTTTCCTTACTCCCCCTTCCCCACACTCTGTATCCGCTCCCTCCCTGAGCGGCGGCTACCAACGTCGCCGCTGTATCACCCACGCGCCTACCTGCCTTGAAGTGCGGCACCCTGACCGTTCCACCCTCGTCCGTTCGCTGCCCAGGTATTGTCCGCCCTGTGGCATCCATGGCGGACACCACGCCTGACAAGTGTTTGGCCAAATGCCATAGCCAAATTGTTGACAATTTTTTCCTTCCTTTGAAGCAAACACGATGGATTTGGAGTACTTGTACTACAACTTCATGGATTCATCCTCATTGGATGATGACGAATGGCGATGATGAGGGCGGTCCTTCCAGATGCAGAGCATACAGAGGAGCATGTGCCGGGGAGCATGTTCTCGGTTTCAAGGGATCAGTCAAGGGATGAGTGTTGAATCGGAATAGGGCATGGGGGCATTTGATACTGATGGACAAGTACTTTGTCCCAAATGCCCTATTCGTAGACCATTTTCGCTGACGCTTTCAGATGCAAAAAGATGTTTTTGATGGTCTCTAGAATGGTGTCTGAGCCTATGATGACTACTTCATCTTGAAGGAGGCCGTTATTTTCTGGTTATCAGAAGTGCACGGCTGCGTTGAGGATGTTCTATGGCACGGCCGCAGATACATGGGACGAGTAGCTCCGGGTCAGGTTTGCTACTGTAGCGGTCAAGATGTTTGGACCACAGAGAGAACCAACTGTCCCAGACACCGAAAGGCTCATGGCACTCTCGGAAGCAAGAGGGTGGCCAGGTATGCTCGGATCCATTGATTGCATGCACTGAAAATGGAAAAACTGCCTATATGTTAAACAAGGGCATGTTAAGAAGCCTACCATCATTCTTAAAGCAGATGCATCACAAGACCTCTGAATTTGGCAGTTTTTTTGGCATGCACGGGTCTCACAATGACATCAATGTGTTGCAGCGGTCTCCTTTGTTTGCTAGGTTGACTGTGTGACAAGCTCCTCCGTGCAACTATACCATCAATGGTCATGACTACAACATGGGCTACTATTTGATTGATTGTGTCTATCATCGGTGGGTGACCTTTGTCAAAGACCATGTCCGAGCCAAATACTGAAAAAAGATCTTGCTTTGTCCGAAGACACTACAAAGGATGAAGGCATTTGGAGTGCTCCAAGCTCGTTTTGCAGTTGTTCATGTACCTGCTAAACAATGAGATCCAGAGACGTTGTGGGAGGTGTTGACTTGTTGTGTGATCATGTACCACATGATTGTGGAGGATGAGGGTGAAGAAGTTGACGAAGGTCTAGAAGAGTGTTCCTATCCAACTTCCAGAGCAGAATTTGGCGACGTTTGGAGATTTTATCCAAATGCATCAACATATTCACCATCAAGCCATCAAGCAACTCATGAGCAGCTTCGGAATGATCTGATTGAGCATCTCTTGCGCTTAAAGGGGAGAACTAAACTAGAGCATATGCGTGAATAAGTTGGATTGAAGATTGAATTATTTTATTTGAAAACTTAATGTTTGGAATCATAGGGGAAAAAACAAGGACGGACAAGGGCGGAGGTTTGCTGCACAGGGTTGGGTGGCCGGCTCCCATATTCGGGTCCGCGGACGCATCCATGGAAGTTTGGTGTGTCCAGTTTGGTGGGTCCACGGACATTTATTGTGTCCGATTTGGGGTACACCGTTGGAGACTCCCTTAGTGGGTTTTACACCGATTACACGCTACTATAATTTGTTTCACTCCACAAAATTGCTTGATGTAACCACATTAAGCTTAATAATGAAGAGAAGACTATCAAAATACTTACCCCAGTGAGTGCTTCATCCAACGCTCATCGTCTCTTGTCTGTAAGCAACAAGGAGAAACAATTGCCGTTACTGTGCAAGGAAGAAGAGACAGTAAAACAAACAAAGCCAAGTAGCAAACCGTGAAATCTTCACGAGCATGAGCTCCTCTGCTTTCCTTCCGAGCCTCTGCTGAATACATAGTTATGCATGCATTTATCAACAGATTTTCCAGCTCTATGGTTTCTATCAAGTCTGAATTCCTGCATAAACAAACGACAACAAAAATGGGTGATTACTGCAGGAATACAAGTCAAACTGCTTCATACAATTCCTGCGAGGAATAACATATACCATATGAGGCTTCGGTCACTGATCTTCACGTCATGATAACTTTCCCATGCTTTGCTGATCAGTTGACAACCTAATAAACATATGGCCAATGAGTATTTTTTGATAAATGATAATTATAACCAAGAATAGTGGTTCTTCCTGCTTGTGTATCTTTACTTATGTTGTTCTTGCTTCCTGCTTTTCATGCATAAATAGCTCTAAGAATTTCCCTTACCTCTCAAGGGTCTATGGTGAGAACAGATAACAGACACAGGATAATGATTGTTCGAGAAAAAACACAGGATGGTGATGAACTCTACAAAGGATATGTTCAATACCTTCTTCAAGCGTTTCTTGTGTACGGAAAACTGCAGCATTATTTTGCATAATACGTTGCGTGTTGAGACGGATCTTGGAAGTTGGCAATGA